GCAGGTGGCATGGTGGTTGGGGGCCGCTGGACTCCCACATGGTTGACTGTGGTTCGAGTCCCAGGCCTGGCAGCTTGCTTTCTCATTCCCACCCTCCTCACTCTGTCCCTCTCTGGTCAAATTAAACTAAAGAAATAAATAACAAAAATTGTATTTTAAAAAAAAAGGCTGGATGTGGTGTAGTGGTAAACATGACACTCTGTGAGGCGGACCCGCACAGGAAGGCTCTGGGTTTGTGCCTGGAGGCCTCCCCGAGCATCCAGGCATGCCCAGTGTGTGAGCCGGGCTGGCCGGGCTGGAAGTGGATTACCCTGTTGGGGGTGCCGCCTCTCTGCCTTTTCCTCTCTCTCCATCTTTGTCTTGCTCATGAGAAAAATAAACTTAAAAGGGGTCCATAAAGAATATGTGAAGGGGCCAGCAGGTGGCATGGTGGTTAAGGTACTGACTAGACTCTATGATTGACTGCGGTTCAAGTCCCGGACCTGGTACTTTGCTTTCTCACTTTCTTTCTCTCTTTGTCTCTTTTTGGTGAATTTCAAAAATAAATAAATAAGTAAATACATTTTAAAAAATTAAATAATTCTTTTAAGAAAGAATATGTGGGGACCAGCAGATGGCATAATGGCTACATCGCTGGGCTTCCCATGTAGTCGACCACGGTTTGAATCCCAGACCCAGTGGCTTAAACTCATGCCAGGCACGTGTGTGTGCATGCCCGAGATCCCAAGAGGAGAATGGAGGAGAAGGGATTGTGGCATGGCCATCCTCCCTGGGGGGTGATTTCTCACTTTCTATCTCTCTGTCTCTCTCTGTCTCTCTGGCGAGTACACGCACCCTATTGCAGAAACCTCTCAAAAAAAATAAATAAAAAAAATAAAAAAGAATTATTTATCGGGGCCAGCAGGTGGCGTGGTGATTAAGGGTGCTGGCCAACTGTGGCTTGCGTTCTCACTTTCTCTCTCTCTCTCTTTCTCTGTCCCTCTCTGGCAAATTAAAATAAATAAGTAAAGTTAAATAAGAAATAATTCTTAACATTTAAAAAAATTAATTTTATTTGTTACTATTTTAAAATTTGACAAGATTTAATTATATTTGTTATTATTATTATTTTATTTTATTTTTTAATTTGATCAGAGAGAGAGAGAGACAAAGGGAATGTGAGAAAGCCCGCTGCCAAGTCTGGGACTCGAACTGCTGTCAGCCACGTGGGAGTCCAACGCCCTTAACCACCACACCTGCTGGCCCACATGTGCATTGTTTTAAGCCACTGACTCTGTGACAATTTGTTACAGCAGCTGTATGAAACTCATACGCTCTTCAGACACTGTGGATGCTCCAGCCTCATCCCTTACTGCTTCAGCGCAAACCTGCTCATTTCCAACTATCAACATGCACAGCTCTGTCCGCAAACCTTCTCTGGACCCAAGCCAGGCTGCTCTGAGCTCCTAGGAACAGGCTCGGTAGTTACCATCTGCAGCAGCAACCTTCAAACGACGCGCTTGTGTGTCAATACCCCAGCTCCCTCACCCCTCGCGGGGAGCATGTTCCATGCTGTGCTCCAGAGGTCCCCAGAGACACTGAACTGCACTTACCCACAGTGGTCAATGCTTAATAATGCACTGTTACGTTGGCCAACAGGTGGCGTGGTGGTTCAGGCACCACAGTTGGAGTCCTGGTACTGTCAGCTTGCTTTTTCATTTCCCCCCCTGTCTCTGTCTCTATCTCTCTCTGCTCAAATTTTAAAAAATAAATAATAAACACAAATAATTCTGTAAAAAATAATAACCTATTATGAGTCGAATCATGTCCCCTACAAAGATATGTTGATGTCTACTTTTTTGTTTAACTTTATTTATTTTAATTTGACCAGAGAGGGAAAGTGAGAAAGTAAGCCACCAGGGGACTAGTAGGTGGTGAGGTGGTCAAGAATGCTGGACTCCCACATGGGTGACTGCGGTTTGAATCCCAGACCTGGTGGCTTGGTTTCTTGCTTCCCCTTTCTTTCTCTCTCTGTCTCTCTGTCTTTGTCGAGTCAAATTTAAAAATAACAGGAACAAATGGAATTCAATAATAAATAATTTAAAAAAAAAAAAAAAGAAAGTAAGTAAGTAAGCCTCTGGGTCTGGGACTCAATCCACAGTCAGCCATGTGGGAGTCAAACCCCCTTAATCCCCCCGCCACCTGCCGGCTCCAGTGTCTTTTTTTTTTTTTTTAAGAAGTTTTTGCCTTAGGGCCTGTGCACTCACTGGAGAGACAGAGACAGTGAGAGGGGAAGTGAGAAATCAGCCCCGCAGGGGAGATGGCCATGCCACAATCCCTTCTCCTCCACTATCCTCTCAGAGTCTTGGGCACACGCGCATGCCTGGTGTGATTTTCAAGTTAACGGGTGCAGCGCTTGAAGCGCAGTCGGCCATGTGGGAAACAGGCAACGTAACCAGTATGCCATCTGCTGGCCCTGATGCTTTTTTTAGTTTAGAGAGATCTTTTTGCTATAGGGTGTGTTTGCTCGCCAGAGAGACAGGGGGAGACAGAGAGACAAAAATGAGAAATCACCCTGTTGGGGGGACAATCACGCCACAGTCCCTTCTCTCTTCTCCTTTTGGGATTTTGGGCACGCATGCACACGCATCTGGTGTGAGTTTCAAGCCACTCGGCTTGGTCTGGGACTTGAACTGCAGTCGGTCAGGTGGGAGTCCAACACTTAACCACTACACCATGTTGATGTCCTAGGACCTTAGAATGTGACCTTCTTTGGATAAGGCCCTTACAGATATTTTAAAAATTATTATCTTTTTGGAGAAGTTTTTGCTATAGGGCACGTGCGCTCACCAGAAAGACAGAGAGAGACAGACAGAAAGTGAGAAATCACTCCCCAGGAAGATGGCCACGCCACAATCCCTTCTCCTCCATTCTCCTCTCGGGATCTTGGGCATGCACCTGGTGTGAGGTTAAGCCGCCAGGTCTGAGACTCGAACCGTAGTCGACTACGCGGGAGTCCAGTGACACAGCCATTACGCCAACTGTTGATCCAGGGAGACACATGGAGACAGCCAGGGGGTCAGAGAAGTAGACACTGCACTGACTCATCTATAAGCCACCGGAAACTAGAAGAGCCGAGGAAGGGAGCTTCCAGAGCCTGCGCCTGCCCACACTTCCCTGTGGAGGTCTGACCTCCGCCTCTGGGACACTAGGAGGACAATAGGATTCTGCTGTAAGCTAACCAGTGGGGATACTTTGTTTCAGTAGACTTAGGAAACCAGTCTACACGCCCTTCTCAGCCTCTCAGTGAACACTCAGACCACTTGTCCCTAATCCTTGTCTCCGGGTCCACTTGGGGAAGTTTTTGAACTAAAACACATACTATTCTTTACTTTTTTTTTTTTTTGGTTTTGCCATTGCCATGGGGCATGTGAACTTGCCAGAGAGTGACAGAGATAGAGGAAGGGAAAGTGAGGAATCCCCCACCCCCCAGGGGAATGGCCATACCATAATCCCTTCTTCTCCATTGTCCTGTCAGGATTTTGGGCATGCACGCAAATGTGCCTTTTTTTTTTTTTTTTAACGAGGTCTTTGCCATAGGGTACATACACTCACCAGAGAGAGAGAAAGAGAGACAGAGACAGTGAGAGGGAAAATAAGAAATTACCCACCCCCTCCCCAGGCGGATGGCTAAGCTGCAATCCCTTCTCCATTCTCCTCCTGGGATCTTGGACACGCACACATATGTTCTTAGCGTGATTTTCAAGCCACGGGGTCCAGGACTTGATCCGCAGTTGGTCATATAGGGAGTTCAGCAACAAAACCACTATGCCATCCGTTGACCCCTGGAATCCGGATACCTTAAACATCCCACTACTGGCTGGCCCCAAGGTGCATTTAAAAAAATATTTAATTTTATTTATTCACTCATTTATTTTAATTTGACCAGAGACAGACACAGAGAAGGAAAGAGAGAGAGAGGGAAAGTGAGAAAGGAAGCCACCAGGTCCGGGACTCGAACCATGGTCGGCCAAGTGGGAGTGTCCAGCAACTCAACCACCACACCACCTGCTGGTCCTGCCGTTTTTTTGTTTTTAAGAATTATTTATTGGGGGGACCAACAGTTGGCATAATGGCTATGTCACTGGACTCCCATGGAGTCGACCGTAGTTCAAATCCCGGACCTGTTGGCTTAAAACTCATGCCAGGCACATGTGCATGCGTGCCCCAGATCCCAGGAGGAGAGGGGGGAGTGATTTCTCGCTTTCTGTCTCTGTCTGTCTCTGTCTTTCCGGTGAGCGCACGCGCCCTATAGCAAAAACCTCTCCAAAAAAAAAAAAAAAAGAATTATTTATTCAATTTTATTTGTCAATATTATTATCGTTTTTCGATTTGCTATAGGGCACATGTGCTCATGAGGGAGAGAAAGAGAGAGAGAGAAAGTGAGAAAGCATACCACCAGGTTCGGGACGCAAGTGGCAATCAGTCGTGTGGGAGTCCAGCGCCTTAACCACCGCGCCACCTGCTGGCCCCCGGAGGGGCTGTTTTCTAATGGTAACGGCAGATGCACAAGAGAGGGTGGGTCCCCTCCATGCTTTGGGGGAGCTGGGCCTCTTTGAGGCTCATCATTGCCTGCGCTTGTGATTCTGTGAGCTAAAGTGGTCCCCAGTTTTCGGGTGACCCAGGAAGGCTGAACTGCAAATCCAAGCTTGTCCCACCAGTACGTGGAGGGTGGGAGAATCCCATGCCTGGCCCAGGACTCTGGGATCACCCCATGACTGTCCTCCAGCTGCAGGAGGTCACCGAGTCAGCCCCTTTTTTTTAGGTGTCCAACGGGAATACGCCAGAGGAGAGAAGGCGGGGCAGCCGCCACAGACCTCGTAGACGGCCAGGTCGATGCCTGCGTAGGGGATGATACCCAACACGTTGGGCAGGTAACCGCGGTAGAAGGCGCGGGGTCCCTCCCGCTCCAGGATCCGCCTGGCGCAGTCCAGCAGCCCCTTGTACTGGCCCGTCCGGCGCAGGGTCAGCCGCGTCTTCAGCACCTGGGGAGAATCCAGTTTATCCCTAAAACAAAAGCTGCTCCTTGGGACCAACAGACGGTGTAGTGGTTACGTCGCTGGATTCCCACATGGCCGACCGTGGTTCGAATCCCAGACCCGGTGGCTTAAAACTCACACTGGGCATGTGTGCGTGCGTGCCCAAGATCCCAAGAGGAGAAGGGAGAAGGGGCTATGGCGTGACCATCTTCTGGGGGCGGGGGGGGAGGGTTGTGATTTCTCACTTCCCCTCTCCCTGTGTCTCTTTGTCACTCTCCCTCTGACAAGTGCAAGCGCCCTAAAGCAAAAACCTCTACAAAAATAAAACAAAAAACTGCTTCCTAAATCACTATACCCAGGAATAAGACACCTAAAAATAGCTATTCCTGGAAACAGATACCCTGAGAATAATTGAATTACAATAACCACTTTCTCGGGAATATTCTGCTATCCCCAAATCTCCGTACCTAGTTAAACTTACAGAGTGACATGTGGCAGTCACCACTGTCCCCGATATCTCATTCCCTTCCTCTTTAATACCAGAAACTGTCACTTTCAGCAAGCCTGCTGTCACCAGAAACAAAGACTTCCGAATTTTCCTGTCTATATGGCCCTGTCGCCAAGACCTAGCCAAATGAGACAGAAGGAGGAGAGACACTTTCACAAGGCATCCTTAAAAGAGGGGTGGGATTTCTTTCTTTGCCGCTTTTTTTCCTTCTTGGCTGGAGTGTGGGACGTGATGAGCGGAGCACATGCAGCCACATTGTTCCATGAGGTGGATGCTGCATGGTGAGGGATGGAACGACAGACAGATGCAAGGAACCTGAGTCCCTAATGTTCTGAAGCCACCCTCCCAGCTAGGCCTGAATTGCTCATCCCTAGACTTCACTGACATCAACATTTTCCATCCCTTTCGAAATCCTAATGATACCCTGCACAACCTGACGCGATTTCTCCAATCACAGAGACACCTAGAAACGCTTCCTTGGAGAATAAACACCCCGTCCTCGGAAGAGGCATATCCGTAAGCAGCCAGCCCCCAAGACCCCCTTCCACACAGATAACGGTCAGCTACCATCCCAGAAGTCAGCTACGCCAAGGTCACACCGGGGCAGGCCACGCGGGGAAAAGCAGGGCTGCAAAGTGCTAGAGTTGGGATCAGGCGGAGGCGCCATCCCGGAGCGGCCTGGTTGTGGGGCTCTCCCGGCCCTGCAGTGGGGCCCCTGTTCTCACCTCCATGGGGTAGATGACCGTCTGGGCGGTGGCCCCGGCCAGGGAGCCGGCCACGAAGCGTTCCTGCACATGCAGCGTCTCCTGCTGGCCCCGGATACCCCGCTTGATCTAGGGGTGGAGACACCGGGTGGGTAGGAAAGCCTTTCCACCTTCTGCGGTTCTCCGGGCTCCCCAGAATCCTCCTGCTCTGAGCGCGGAGCCGGGGCCTGATCCTGGGGATGCGCCATACCGCCCCGCAGGCCCATCCTCCAGCCCTCGTTCTCGTTCTACGCCAGCGTTCCCCAGGCCAGCGCGCCTCCCTGCACCGCCCACCTGCCCACCTGCCCACCCGCCCACCTGCTCGCCCACCTGCTAACTGTCACTTTCAGCAAGCCTGCTGTCACCAGAAACAAAGACTTCCGAATTTTCCTGTCTATATGGCCCTGTCGCCAAGACCTAGCCAAATGAGACAGAAGGAGGAGAGACACTTTCACAAGGCATCCTTAAAAGAGGGGTGGGATTTCTTTCTTTGCCGCTTTTTTTCCTTCTTGGCTGGAGTGTGGGACGTGATGAGCGGAGCACATGCAGCCACATTGTTCCATGAGGTGGATGCTGCATGGTGAGGGATGGAACGACAGACAGATGCAAGGAACCTGAGTCCCTAATGTTCTGAAGCCACCCTCCCAGCTAGGCCTGAATTGCTCATCCCTAGACTTCACTGACATCAACATTTTCCATCCCTTTCGAAATCCTAATGATACCCTGCACAACCTGACGCGATTTCTCCAATCACAGAGACACCTAGAAACGCTTCCTTGGAGAATAAACACCCCGTCCTCGGAAGAGGCATATCCGTAAGCAGCCAGCCCCCAAGACCCCCTTCCACACAGATAACGGTCAGCTACCATCCCAGAAGTCAGCTACGCCAAGGTCACACCGGGGCAGGCCACGCGGGGAAAAGCAGGGCTGCAAAGTGCTAGAGTTGGGATCAGGCGGAGGCGCCATCCCGGAGCGGCCTGGTTGTGGGGCTCTCCCGGCCCTGCAGTGGGGCCCCTGTTCTCACCTCCATGGGGTAGATGACCGTCTGGGCGGTGGCCCCGGCCAGGGAGCCGGCCACGAAGCGTTCCTGCACATGCAGCGTCTCCTGCTGGCCCCGGATACCCCGCTTGATCTAGGGGTGGAGACACCGGGTGGGTAGGAAAGCCTTTCCACCTTCTGCGGTTCTCCGGGCTCCCCAGAATCCTCCTGCTCTGAGCGCGGAGCCGGGGCCTGATCCTGGGGATGCGCCATACCGCCCCGCAGGCCCATCCTCCAGCCCTCGTTCTCGTTCTACGCCAGCGTTCCCCAGGCCAGCGCGCCTCCCTGCACCGCCCACCTGCCCACCTGCCCACCCGCCCACCTGCTCGCCCACCTGCTCGTAGGCCATGAACTTGATGGCCGACTCGGGCGCGATCTTGAGCACGTTGATCCCGTTGCCGCGCCACAGAGAGCGCAAGCCCCCCTCGCCGACCATGCTCCGGAGACCCCCCAGGATGTTCAGACGGTTGGTCTTTGACGCGTGGACCTGAATGGGGAGACAGAGACAAGGCGGCGTGGGCGGTGCCTCCCGGGTCGGGGTCTGGGGGAGGGAGTGGGTCTCCCGAGGGCCCCTCACCTGCATGAAGACCTTGAGGCGGTCCAGAGGGGCCGTGCCTGTCCGCGACACAGCGCCCGCCACGGCTCCGGCCACCAGCTGCTTCCACCAGGTGCCCGTGAGCTTCTCCTGCTTGGAGAACTCGTCTGGCACCGTCAGGTGCTCGCCTATGTCCAGGACCTGGGGACGCAGGGCCTGGGGCTGTCACACTGCGGTCGGTGGTTGGGGAGGCTCTATCAAGCATTTCCAGCACCCTTGGAGAGCCCAGGAGAGCCCTCTCGGATCTCACCAGATACCACCAACACGTCCAACCCATGGTCCCCGTAAAGATCCCCAAATCCCTCCTGGAGACCTTGATCAGATCCTGCCGGGGATTCCCCAAGGTCATCAGATCCCACTGAAGGAGTCCAAGCAAGGGTCTCCCATCGAAGGATTCCAGAAGACCCCTCCAGGGCCCACAGGATCTTTCCAGGAAAGCCCCACGGAAGGATCCCAGGAGATCCCTCCCCGTGCTTCGCTAGACCTCATGGGGATCTCCACCACGGGGAGCCTCTAGTGTCCCCGGGGGAGCCTCCAGGGTAGGAGTCTCTGGATCCCCCAAGTGGGTCTCACCAGATCCCCTGGATGGATCTCTGCCAGATGCCACCAGGCTCTACTGAAAGCATTGCCCGGGGATGCCTGCCAAGGGTCTGGATCTAGGCCCCTTCCCTACCTCAGTGGATCCCGCTGGACTCCCCGAAAACAATGGCTACCTAACTTTTCTGATCTGCAGAACCCTCTATCCAGGCTAAGAGAACCGAGCAAAGGGGGGCTGTGTGGGTTGCGGGTGGGAGGCCCAGTTCGTCCCATTGAGCTGCCCCCAGAGGAAGCCTCAAGGGCCCCAATCAGATGGAGAGACACCCCCAGATGGGCCCCAGGCCCAGGCTCCTGAGCCCAGCACGGAGGAGAGGGGAGCAGAGCTTCATCCCTCGGCTCCAGGAGTACCTTCCCTAGAGAGGGTCCTAGCCCAGCCCCGCGGAGGTCGGGGGAGACCGGGGAGACCCGGGAAGGCGCCCCCGCTCACCGTGGAGTGCTTCCAGAAGTAGAGCACGTCCTCCACATTCTCCAGCGGGTGCAGCAGGAAGTGGTCCCGCCACTCTTGCCAGTCAATGGTCATCGTGTTGTCGCGGTCCATGCTGGGGGGACGGCTGGGGTGAGGTCTCGCAGGAGCGCGCAGGGCCCACCATGACGGGGGCTGCTCTAGGCCACGGTGACTCCTCACGCCAGCCCGTCAGGGAGACGCTATGACCCCACTCATTTTCCAGAGGACACTGAGGCTCAGACAGGGGAAGCAAGCGGCCCAGGGTCTGCCGGACTCCAGAACCCCAGCCTCTCAGCACTGCCTCCCAGGACCGGGGGGGGACGGAGCCAGTCACGGGGTCACGGGAACCTGAGGTCCCTGGGGTCCTGGACCCCCAGCGACTCACCTGTGTAGGATTTTCTCTGCCTGCTCCAGCGTGATGGAGATGCCCAGAGCTCGGAAACTCTGCTGAATCTCAGAGACGTCTATGTGACCTGGGGAGGGGGCCCAGGTGGGGAGGGGCTATGGGGGGAGAGGGCCCTGGGACAAGGGTCAGGACAGCTTGCACTAGAGGGTGACGTTTGCAGCAGGGTTGTGGGGAGAGGTGAAACTGGGCCGTGGGGGGAGGAGTTCTCTGTTCCAGGAACGACTCCCTGAATCCAAGGCTAATTTTAGGGGTCCCTATACCGGTGAGGACTGAGGTAGGCTTGGAACCCAGAAGATGCGCAGCAGGCGGGTTCCTCTGTCCCATAGAGAACCCAGAAGCACTCAGGGATCTCTGTCCCTGAGAAAAATCCAGCGGGAATAATAGGGGTCCCACGCTGGAAGGAGGGCAAGGTGGGATGGGCTGGCTGGGCTCGAACCACCTCGCTGGGGGTGAGGAGAACTCCCAAAATAGCTTGTGAGTCATCAGGGAGAGGCGCCCCCCCTCCCGCCCCGCCTCCCCAGTTCCCCGCTGCCAGCTCTAACCCCACGGTCGTCTGGGGGGGGGCCCTGGCCCATCCCCGCCCATCCCGGAGCAGTGTGCGGCCAGCCTTACCGTCCTGGTTCCGGTCCAGGCTGTGGAACATGAGTAGCAGGCGCTGCTCCCGCTCCTGCAGGTAGCGGGTGAACTCCTCCAGGTCAAGCCCGCCATCTGGGTCAGCGTCGGTCCCAGGGGAGCCGCCCTGGCAGTGGGGAAGGGACAGAGGGGTCCCCGGGAAGGGACACGATTCATTTTATGCCTCAGAAACCGAGGGCCTGCAGGGCCTTGGGGGAGAGAGGCAAGGGACAGCATCTCCCCTCGCCCCCCAAATCGGCTCACTTCTCGTCAAAGTGCCCAAGGCCACCATAGGAATGTGAGGCGGGGAGCCATTGCCCAGTGTCCCTGGCATACAAACCCAGGCTTTTCGAGGTCAAGAAACTGGTTCAAGGTCACTGGGCAGGGGAACCTTGGGTACTCCTCTCTAAAGCCTGTTCTTGCTGAGGCTTACACCGGTTCACACCGCAGCCTTTCCAAATAGCTCTGAGCAAGACGAGACACAGCCAAGCCCGAGCAGGGCAGCCGTGGGGCCTCTGCTTTCCCTTCTGCAAGGTGGGAGGGCGGCCAGAGGTCTCAGGGATGCTATGGAGAGGCCTCGGGACCCTCTGGGGTCCGGATGTAGAGAACACCTGCAGCCTGGGGACAGGGGGGGCAAGTGACTGTCTTGATGGGTGCATGGCCAGTTCAGCTTGGATTCCTGGGGCGGTTGGGGGGGGCACCGAGCCGGGCCCAGGAGAGGGCAGGCAGGGAATGTAAACACAACGGCTGGGCAGGCAGGCGGGAGGGCAGTAGGTGCCAGGAGGGGGGTGGAGGGTGTGTCGCTGGAGGTAGGAGCTAGGCTTGTCTCATCTGCGCAGAGTCCAAAGGAGGGTGTGTCCTGGGCAGTGGCAGAAGTGTCCCCCACTGGGTTCCCCGGCAGACACCCCCCACCCTGGGGGAGGGGAAACGGGTGTTGGCAGCTAAGTGCAAGCCAGGGGGCCTCAGGGGCCCGGTGTTGCGCGATCCCGTTAGGCCATACAGGAGTGGCCAGGGGGTAAGTGGACTGAGAGGCAGGTCCTGGAGTCCAGCCACAGGTAATCCCAGGCGGCTCCAGCCGGCCCATTCAGAGACTCGGGTTACGGGGCGCAGGCTGGGCCCCCAGCGCGGCGCGCTAGGACGGGGTCCCGGAGAGGGTACCTGTTGGGCGCCGCGTTCTGGGTCGCCCCCGCCCAGCCTGGCCAGTCCCTGGCGCAACTCGTGCACGTCCACGCGGCCATCCTTGTTACTGTCCAGCTCCTCGAAAAGGCGACTCCAGCGTTGTCGCCGCTCTGCGTCTCCCGGACCCCCCCGCATGGCGTCCGCCCAGGGGGGAGGGGAGGCCCGGCAGAGGCGGCCTCAGCGGGGGCTTCGCGGCTCCCCCTCCCCCCCGGGGCCCCGCAGGGCCAGCTCCGCGGTCCCTAGCACCTTCGCCTTCGCCTTGCCTGCCGGGCTCCCGCAC